TATCCTGCCCTACAGGAAAATAAAAGGGGAAAGGGGGAAAGAAAAGGGGGAGCGGTGATAGAAGGGAGGGCAGATTAGGGGAAGGGGTATTCAAAATGCACACCATCTTGGGGTGAGGGAGGGGTGAGATGGGGAGAAAATTTGGAACTCAAAATCTTGTGGAAGTGAATGTTGAAAACTAAATAAATGTAAAGAAAAAAACAATTTAAATAGCTAGGGGAATATTCAGTGCTCACAGCTAGGCCATGCCAATATAATAAAAATGACAATACTACCAAAATTAATCTATACTTTTAAAGCTGTATCAATCAAATTATCAAAGGGGCACCTTACAGAATTTGATAAAAATAGCAACAGTTCATTTGGGGGAACAAAAGATCTAGAATATCAAGAGAAATGAAGTAAGGGGAATAGTGTTTCACACTTCAAACTATTGTACAAAGCCACAGTCATCAATACCATCTGGTGTTGCTAGATATTATTTTATATGTGTGTGTATGTGTATGTATATGTATGTGTATAGATACATACATGTATATGACATAATATAGATCAGTTGAATAGACTAGGTAAGGGAGATTCAGATACATTACAACTCAATAACCTAATGTTGACCCAGATAAAATGGAAAAGATAAATTACTTAGGGGGAAACTCCTTATTTGGTTAAAACTGCTGGGAACACTGCAAAGCAGGCTGCCAGAAATTAGGCTTAAACTGACTTATGTCATATTCCACAAACCATTAAATGGATTTGCCACAAAACCTAGTTGTAGACCAACATCTGACACCACATACAAAGATAAAGGTCAAAATGAATTCATGATTTAGACATGAAGGGTGATACCATAAACAAATTTGGAGAGCAGGGAATAGTTGACCTGGCAGATCTATGGAGAAGGGAAGAATTTTTGACCACAAAGAGAAAGAGCATTACAAGATGTAAAATGGAAAATTTTGATTATATTAAATTAAAAGGTTTTTGCACAAACAAAAGCAATGCAACAAAGATTAGAAGGAAAACAGAGCTGGGAAACAATTTTTACAGCAAGTGTCTCTGATAAAGGCCTCGTTTCTCAAATATATGGAGAACAAAGTCAAATATATAAGCATACAAGTTATACAAGAATACAAGTCATTCTCTGACTGATATATGGTCAAAGGGATATGAACAGGCAGTTTTCAGATGAAGAAATCAAAGCTATCTATAGTCATATGAGAAAATGCTCTAATTCACTATTGATTAGAAAAATGCAAATTAAAACAACTCTGAGGCACCACCTCACACCAATCAAATTGGTTAATATGACAAAAAAGGAAAATGGTAAATATCGGAGATGTGGGGAAATTGGGACAGTAATGCATTGTTGATAGAGTTGTGAACTGATCTAGCTATTCTGGGAGCATTTTGGAACCATGCCCACAGGGCAGTCAAACCATATACCCTTTGACCCAACAGACCACCACGAGGTCTGTATCCCAAAGAGATAATAAAAAAGGGGAAAGGACCCTACATATACAAAAATATTTATAGTAGCTCTTTTTATGGTGGCAGTGAATTGGAAATTAAGGGAATGCCCATTTGTTGGGGAATGGCTGAACAAGCTGTGGTATATAAATGTAATAGAATACTATTATGCTATAAGAAATAACGAGTAGGCAGATTTCAGAAAAACCTTGAAAGACTTACATGAACTGATGCAAAGTGAAGTGAGCAGAAGCAGGGGAACATTGTACACAGTAACAACAATGTTGTTCGATAATCAGCTATGACTGACTTAGCTCTTCTCAGCAATGCAGTGATCAGAGACAATTCCAAAGGACATGTGATGGATTCACATCCAGAGAAAGAACTATGGAGTCTGAATGCAGATGGAAACATACTATTTTCACCTTCTTTATTTGTGTGTATGTGTGTGTGTTTTCCTTTTGGGCTGTTTCTTCTTTTATAACATGACTAATATGGAAATATGTTATACATGGTTGCACATATATAACCTTTTTCAAATTACCATTTTAGGGAGAGGGAAGTTGAGGGGAAGGGAGAGAGGAAGAAAATTTGGAATTCAAAATTTTTTTAAATGAATGTTTAAAATTGCCTTTACATTTAGCTGGAGAAAATAATAGTACTTAAACTTTAAAAAAGGATATGCCATGTTAATATTAAAGATCATGCTGTCAAAAATTATAAGAAAAGTAGATCACATACCTCTTACAGCTATGGGTAGGAGATGTATTCTTAGCCAAACAAAAGAAAGAGGCAATTACAAAAGATAAAACTGGAAACTTTGATTACCTGAAACTGAAAAGCTTTTGCACAGACAAAATTAATACATCTAGGATAAGTTGGGAAGTAGTCAAATCAGAAATAAAAGCTTGGTATTAAATTTCTCTGATAAGGCTTTGGTATCTAAAATATATAAAATAGAATGAATGGTCTAAAGATATGAACAAACAGATCTCAAAAGAAGAATTGCAAAATATGCACACATTAAACGATGTTCCAAATCACTAATAATAAGAGAAATGCACATCAAAAAAACCCCTTAGATTTCACCTCACACCCTGCAAATTGGCAAAAATGACAAGTAGCAATAGATAATATTGGAGGAGTTGTGGCATGATAGTCACATTAACATATTGTTGGTGGAGCTATGAAATGGAATCACTGTTTTAGAGAGTTATTTGGAATTATACAAATAAAGTGACTAAAATGTCCATACCCTTTGAACCAGAGATTCCATTTTTGGGCTTAGACCCCAAGGAAGAAAGTCCCGATGTACACCAAAATAAGCAGCGTTTTGGGGGGGAATATTTATAGCAGCTTTTGTGTGTGTGTGTGTGTATACATGTAATAGCCAAGAATTGGAGACAAAGTAGATGCCCATTAGATGGGTTATGGCCAAACAAATCGTGATATATGAATGTAATGGAATATTACTGTGCTGTAAGAAGTGATGTGTGTGATCAGTACAGAGAAGCATGGAAAGATCTATATGAACTGATGCAGAGTGAAGTAAGCAGAGCCAAGAAAGCAAAACGTACAGTGACTGACTACAACAGTAGAAATGGAAAACCACAACCACATGCTAGAAAATCAAAAGTGAATGTTGCAAAATTAGAAAGATCAAACAGGATTCAAATGAAAGTATCTGAGAAGACATTCTACCCCCTGCTGGAGGTAGGAGGGCCATAGGTATTACAGATTGCACAGGTTGTTGGACATTTTCAGTGTATTGATCAGTTTTGTGTGTGTGTGTGTGTGTGTGTGTGTGTGTGTGTGTTTCCCCCTCTAAAAATACTATTTGTTATAGGCTGGCCCTAGGGAAGGGGGAGGGGAAGAGATCCTTGGGATAACTATGATGATAGAAAAAAAAAAAGGTAGCAATAAGAACTTATGTTAAAAAATAAAATCAACCAAGGGTATTCTAGCAGCTAGAAAATCCTTTTATTAGGGGGATTTGTTGTGTGAAGTTTGGATTCAGTCAAAGGGCTGCATTTGAAGGCCACATGTGGCCTTGAGGCCACAGGTGTCCCACTCCTGTTCTAGCTCTTAGAAAAGTTTCCACCAAAATTTTTAAAAGCCCTTGATGCTTGAAGGAGTAAGCTTCTATGACCTTGCAAACTGACTTAAGTCTATACACTTTAGAGCTGGAAAAGACATTAATGGCTGTCTAGTACATTTCTGTCATTTTATAGAGATCCAGGGAGACTCAGGGACTTGTGTAGCCTGGGCTCACACAAGCGCTAAGTAGAGTCAATCTAAGGGTGCCATCTCTGCTGCCCCATTCTGGGGAACATCTTGTTTCCTGACAATTATAAACAATTGAGCAGTTATTGTTTTTATTGTTGGTTTTTGTCTGGATCTGCGATTTCATCATAATGATGAACTAATATGGACATTCCCTCCACTGATGAAGACTGGGAACTCAGTGGGTAACTTCGAGTCTTGGAGACAGCTAGGTGATACAGAGCACTTAGCCTGGGGTCAAGAAGGTCTCATTTCAAATCCAGCCTGAGGGGAGGGGGGGACAGCAAAAAACAAAAAAGGGGCAGCTAGGTGGCACGGTGGATAGAGCACCAGCCGTGGAGTCCGGAAGACTTGAGTTCAAATCTGGCCTCAGACACTTGACACTTAGTAGCTGTGTGATCCTGGGCAAGTCACTTAACCCCCTTGCCTAGCCAAAAAAAAAAAAATCCAGCCTCGGACACTTACTAATTGTATGACTCTGGGCAAGTTACTTCACCTCTGTCTGCCTCACTTTCCTCAAGTGTAAATTGGGAGTAATTATAGCACCTACCCTTAGGGTTGTCGTGAGAATAAAGTGAGATAATATTTGTAAAGGGCTTAGCATAGTGCCTGGCACATAATTGATCCTTCCTTCCTTCTTTTCCTTCCTCCCTCCTTTCCTTCCTTCCTTCCCTCTTTCCTTCCTTCGTTCCATCCTTCCTTCTGTCATAGAGATGTTAAATGGATTCTGTCAGAGGCTAGACTTTTGAAACCAGATCTTCCTGACTTCAAAACTAACCTATTTACTCCAGAAACTAAATCCTCTGAATTTATATCCAGTTTTAATAATAGTGATAACTGACAGTTAGTGATTTACAAGTATACAAAATACTTTATGCCCATTTTCTCATTGGAGCCTCAGAACTCCCCCTCCATAAGACAATAAATACCCCCCTAAGTAAACATACTTAGTGAATGCATAATTCTTCACAAGGAAGTTTTGGTCAAAAGGTCCAAATTTTAAGCCAACAATTTTTAAACCAATTTTAAGCCAAAAGGACATGAGAATGGTAGCATAGAGGCCTACTAGCTACCTATGGAAAGCTCAAGCCTGAGCATGTATGGTCCTATAATTTGTAGTTGCTGGTTTGGGGAAATAGAAGTTGGCTTAATCTCTATGTGTCATAAGATGGGGTTGTTAGAAGCTTTTCTTTACTCAGCTTTAAGTCTAGGAGGCCCTTAAGTAATGTGCTGTTCTTTTTTAAAACTAGGGTTCTTCTCATGCTGCTGAAAGACTGCTGCATTTACAGGAATTTAAAATGTCCAGGACTGTTAAAGTAAATCCTGATGCTCCCCAGAAAAATGCTCGCTTCCTTGCACTTGATGTAAGTAAGATGATGGTATATCTTTTTTACCTATGTAGGGGTCTTATGAGGCTTGCCAAAATATCAGAGAGCTAGAAGGCTACTCCAGAATGCAAGAAGTTAAAGTGGATCCTGATAAACCTTTGGAAGGAGTTCGACTAATAGTACTACAGGTAATCACACCTTCCCTAAAGTGGATACTTTGCTAAGATAAAATCAGTATATTTTCTAAGCAGTCAGTATCTTTTGCTTGAATAAGATGGTGCTCCATGAATTCTTGGAGCTGAAAATAGCTCAGAAGCCATTTAATCTAATCTGTATCTGACCAAGGGTTACCTTCTATGATAGCCCCAGCTAGTAGAGATCCCCATTAATGGGGAATCAGTTACTTCCTGGATCAGACAGGCATTTACTTTTGGACAGCTCTCATGGTTAGCACGTTTTCCCTTACATCTAGGTTGAATGTGCCTCTTTACAGCTTCCACCCACTGCTTCTAGTGTAATGACCCCTTCGGCATCTTTTCAGTACTTTAAGGCAAGTCCTCCAGACTACAAATGCCCAGTCCCCTCATGGTGTGTTCTGTGAGTCCAGAATACCTGGGTGTGAATCCTGCCTCAGATGTATGCTAGCTGTGTGCCTCTGGGCAAGTCTTTTCACCAGTTTGTGTTTCAGTTTCTTCTCTTGCAAAATGAGGAGGTTGAAACTGATGCCTCTGAGATTCTTTCCAGCTTATAGTAGTTTGTGTTTCTAATAATAACTGAGAAAAAGGACGTAGGCAGAATTTTGAGATTGGTGAATTTTGTCTTCAGGTCTTTCCCCCTTCCCTTTTGTTGACTCCTCTTTTGAGGAGTCATGAGCACCTCACCTAGCCTTTCTTATCCTGAGCAGTGCGCCATCCCTGTGGATCAAAACTTGCTCTCAGGTACCTTTCAGGTTAGGAAGGAACCAAAAAACTGACTTATACCATGCTGTAATTAATTAGTAATGGCTTACTCATTGTCATAGCTCGTATACATAACTAGACCTTTTTTCCTCCCTGTGGCAAAAACAACTGGGAGTGAGTACAACAGCTTTGCAGAAGGCAGCGCAATCAATTATATCAGGAGTGGGTTCCCACCCCACGCTACAAGTTGGGGGAAGACTAAAGAAATTTAGGACTGTGGTCTCTGGATCATTGTTAGTAGATGCCCCCCACTGTGTGACAACACCCGAGAAAAATCACTGTACCCTAGTTATTGGGCAATAACAGCTTTTTCTTTTATTTTTATGGATCGATCTTTATTTCCCCTTTTTTTTTTTAAATAAAAAAACCCCTATTTTCTCTCCCTTCCACTTCCTTGCCCCTAACCCAACCCCACTGGAAAAAAAAGAAAAGAAAAGAAAATCCTTGTAATAAATATACCAGTCAAGGGGCAGCTAGGTGGCACAGTGGATAGAGCACTAGCCCTGAAGTCAGGAGGACCTGAGTTCAAATTCGGCCTCAGACCAAGCACCTGACGCTTACTAACTGTGTGACCCTGGGTAAGTCACTTAACCCCAATTGCCTAAAAACAAACAAACAAACAAATAAATATACCAATCAAGCAAAATAAATTCCCACATTAGCCATTTCCAAAAACTACATGTCTCATTCTGCACTCTGAGTCAATATAATAGATTTTTCAAGGATACTTGTATAGGAAATGATACCTTAATCCCAACAAACTGAATTTCTAATGGTATAGTTTTAAGTATCAGTGACAGGCCAGCAGAGACCTTTTGGACAGGGGCCTTTGTTGTCAGAGGTAGAGTGGCCAGAGTGCTGGATTTGGAATTTATAAGCTCTTAATAAACATAACAAATAGTGACCCACAAATACTGATAGTGTTAATCATTAGACCAGCTATTAACAGTTAGTTGGGTTGGTGGATTATTATACTTTTGTGAATAAATGAATAAATATAGCACATAGTTTTCTAATGAAAATAACAACCAAGGCATGAAATGCCAAAGACTATACTGAACATGAATGAGAGCATAGGAAGCACAGAAATATTGTGATTGAAATTCATAAACAATTTGATCAGAGTTTGTATCATTAAAGTAATTTTAAACAAATCACTTATAATTATTCAAAATCCTTATGGGTAACTGAATATGACTGAACAGCTTAGTAAGTGCTGTGCTGTCTTTTAAGAAATTAATACCCATTATATAAGACATGAAATCCATGCCATTGGTTTGATATGGTATCATGTATAATGGACTGTCCTGTAAACATTTCAACTAAAAAGGTACCAAAAACCCAAAGCAATTACTGTACTTAACTTTGTATATTGGTTCCTTTAAAGAGGTGGTGTCCTGGTCGTGCGCAAAAACAACATGTAGAGTAGGTTCTCTGTCTGATGTAGTTTGAAGAAATAAGGGATGCGTTTCCATTTGTAATCTCTTTCTGCTTTTTTCTATAAAAGGGCAGAAAAACTTTGTTAGTTCCTACGCCACGATTGAGAACGGGATTATTTAATAAGATTGTCCCACCACCAGGAGCAACAAAAGAAATCTTGAGAAAATGTGCCACTTCTCAGGTAAGTGTGAACAATGGACATGTCAGATAAAATAGAATCAGAATTGTTTTGGTCTGAGGCTTTCAGTAGTGGGATAGTACAAAAGGGATTTTCATGTGTCGTTAGCTAGTATTCATATGGGATTTTACAAAAAGGTTTTGAGGCCTTTTTAATGCTGTAGTCATTTCTCAGTGTGTTCCTCCATATAAGCCCTTCCTGTAACAAGTACAGTTAAGTAAAAACAATCAACATGGGGACTCCACCTGAGAGCTCACGCAACCTTCCTGTATATTTTGGAAACCAGCTTGTATCTGAGATAGTTGATGCAAAAAATTCCCTTCTCAACAATCTCTTTTATTTTAGGTGGACTGATTCTGTTAGTGCAAAAGCTTTTAAAATGAGAGTTTTTTGGGTGCAGGGACTATCTCTGCTTTTCTCTTTGTATCCTGAGTACTTTAGCACATAATTAGCAATAAATGCAGAGTCATTGACTTCTTCAAAGGGTTGCTATGAGGATAGTGCTTCATAAGCCTTAAAGTGTGACATATAAAAGTTAATTATTACTAATCTAGCACTTTTCTAATTGTCTTTTATCATTCATTCATTTCAAAATTATTTATCTTATCTTCCATGATTCCCTCATTTCTTTTTGGGTTAAGCATTTTCCCCCATACCTAAGGTTACAAAAAGATATCTATCCTATTCTCCTGTAGTTATTTTATAATATAACCTTTTACATTTGTGTCAAGTATTCATTTTTTTTGGGGGGGGGCTGGGCAATGGGGTTAAGTGACTTGCTCAGGGTCACACAGCTAGTAAGTGTTATGTGTCTAAGGCCAGATTTGAACTCAGGTTCTCCTGAATCCAGGACCGATGCTCTATCCGCTGAGCAACCTAGCTGTCCTTCAAGTATTCATTTTAAGAACTTATTGTGGTATATGGCATTGGGTTTAAGCCTAGTTTCTGATAAAGTGCTTTACAGTTTTCCTTACAGTTCTTCTCATTAGGGAGTCTTTCCCTAGTAGTTTGTATTCAAAAATATCTCAAACTATATGATTATCTCATAGATGCAGAAAAAGCTTTTGACAAAATACGATATTCATTTATGCTAAAAACCATAAAAATATACACAGAGGAATTCTTTTTTAATATTATAAAAGGTACATATCAAAAACTAAAAGTAAATATCGTGTGCATTGGAGATGCATTAGACACTTTCCCAGTGAATACGAGAATAAAGCAAAGATGCTTTCTCTACCTAGTATTAATTGATGTAGTTCCAGAAATGCTAGCAGTAGCAGTAAGACAAGAGGAAGAAAATAAAGGCATAAATTCAGGTCCCAGAAATCTTAGTGCAGTTTAAAACTAGATACTCTGTAGGCAGAGAGGAGATAAAAACTTTGTTTGCTGATGACATGATGGTTTGCTTAGGGAATCCACAATACTAATTGAGACAGTAACTTCAGCAAAATTGAAGGCTTCAAAAATAAACCCACAAAAATGATCATCATTTCTACATAATAATAGCAATCCAAGAGATAGTAATGCAAAGGGAAATAACATTCAGAGCAACCACAAAATACATCAGACATTTGGTGATCAATCTACTAGAACACATGAAATACTTGTATGCATTCAATTATAAAATACTTAAATAAAAAGCAGCTTAATTAGATAGAGGGATATTTATTGTTCACAGTTGGGCCATGTAAATAGAATAAAAATGATAACATTAATGTTATGCCAATCAAACTGTCAAAGGGCTACTTTGCAGAACTTAATAAAATATAATAAAATTCATTCAGAGAAACAAAAAATCTAGAATATCAAGGGAAGTTATGAAAAAGGTAGGAATGAAGAGGGAATGGTATTTCTAGACATCAAATTATAGTTTAAAGCAGAAGTCATCAAAATCATATTTAAAAAAGAGATATCAGCAGAACATGACACATGGGAGAATCAGAAGCAATAGAATTCAACAACTTAATGGTTGATAAACTAGAAAACATAAATTTCTTAGTAAAGAACTGCCTGTTTCATGAAAACTACTAGGAAAACTGGAAAGCAGTCTGACAGAAATTATGTGTAGATCAACATGCTGTACCAGTAAGTTCCAAATGGATGTGTGGCCTTAATATTAAAGATCACAGCATTAAAAAAATAGAACAGAAGAAGATCATGTACTTCTCACAGCCATGGGTAGGAGATGTGTTCTTAACCCAAACAAGAGACAGAGGCAGTCACAAAAGATGAAATAGACACCTTGATTACATGAAGCTGAAAGACTTCTCCACAAACAAAAGTAATGTTATCTAGGGTAAGATGGGAAACTGTCAGCTGTGGAGAAAAAAAAATCTTTGTATCAAATTTCTCAGATAAGGGTTTGCTATCCAAGATATAAAGACAAAAGATATTGAAAATTGGGAAAATCAAATTGATTTTATTTTGTTATTGATTCAGTTCTGTTTCACTGCAGACATTTTTGTAACTGCCAATGTCATGTTTGATTTGTCTCAGAGTTAAAATTATAAATTCAGCTTCCTTGTAAATTACTCATTGTCTCTAAGCTACATTTAGAAGTTCAGATCTCCAGCTACACTGTTCTGTTCTCGTGTCAAAGAAATCTGTTGTCCTTGAGGGATTCAGGTGAACACCAGGTCTGTTATCCAAGGTAGTCTTGTCCGCTCTTGCTAAACTGTCCTTGGAAGTGGACTCAAAAAATGAGCATTTCTTAGCTCTAGGATGGAAGGAGGGGTCATTGCTAACCCCTCATTCCTAATTTCCAGACACTCATATTGATCCTCATGCCTGTGAAGCTTCAAGCCCTGTAACCAGTCATACTGTTTTACCTATCTATGATGCTTCCTTCAAGTTTTTGGATACTCTTCCTTTTTTTCTGTAAAAAATATTTCATTCAGGGTCTTTTGGCTTACTGAAGAGCTGAGAGACCCCTTTTATTGGTAATTGCTTGCCTTACCAGTAAATTAAACGTGCTTGAAACTTTGTGCCTAAGTTTATCTTCATTTCGATCATAGCAATATGAACAGTTTTTCAACAGAAGAATTACAAACTTCTAACTATATGAAAGAATGCTCTAAATGAATAATAAGATAATTCAAATCAAAACAACCGTGAGGTTTCACTTTGTGCCTAGCAAATAGGCAAAAAAAACAACCAAAAAATGGTAATAATCAATGTTGGAAGGATTTGGGGGAAATATGCATTGTTAGCGGAGCTGTGACTCATAATCATTTTGGAAAACATTATGCACATAAAATGACAAAAATGTCCATATCCTTTGACCCAGAGATTCCACTACAAGATTTGTACCCTAAGTAGGTCAGTGGGAAGAAGAAAGTTCCCATATACACAAAAAGTAGCACTTTTTGTGGTAGCAAAGAATTGGAAATAAAATGGATGTCCATTGATTGAGGACAGACTAAACAAATTATACAAGAATGTAATGGAATATTACCATGCTCTAAGAAATGATAAATGTGAATATAGAGAAGTGTGGAGAAATGCACACAGTCTGATACACAGTGAGGTAAGCAGAGCCACGGAAATAGCAACCACAGGAATGGAAAGAAAAGAACAATTACAAAACAGTGAAAAATAAATGTTGCAAAATTTAAAAGAACACACATGGCCCCAGTGAAGATAAATGTGAAGATACTCCCACCCCCACTACTTTACAGTGATATTGCGTGTATTTTCTGACTTGTTCTATGTATCAGTGTTGATAATTGTTTTTCTGCCTTTTTTTTCTTTAAAAAAGTGTTATTTGTTAAATGAAATAGTCCTCAGAGAGGAGAAGGGAGAATATTCTGGTGATGTAAAAATAATGAATATTAATAAATTATTATTTTAAAAGCAAACCAGAAAATGAACATATCATATATCTTGGGGGCGTGGCTAATAGGAGAATTTGTTTTGCTTAACTGCATATTTGTCACAAGGGTTTTGTTTTTCTTTTTTTCAGTGGAAAGTGGAAGTAGGAAGGAGAGAATAGATTTTTGTAAACTGAAAAAGATTTTTAAAAATGACTCCTTGAAGCTTTTTTTTTGTTTTTGCTTTTTGGGGAGGCATTTGGGGTTAAATGACTTGCTCAGGGTCACACAGCTAGTAAGTGTTAAGTGTCTGAGGCTGGATTTGAATTCAGGTCCTCCTGACTCCAACGCCAGAGCTCTATTCACTGCGCTCCCTAGCTGCCCCTCCTTGAAGTATTTTTAAACACACATAAATGAATAGAAGGAAATCCAGAAGGAAATGCAGACAAGCAGGACAGCTTAGAAAATTCGATGTCAAATTTACTTAAAAGAGATTTGTGGTTTCATTTTTTAAGTGCTCCACAAAAAGGAATGTCAAGTACTAACTCTGAATTTAGTAATTCAGACAGAAAAGCTATGAATAATTTACCGTATTTGTTCAGTTCACATAAAAGATTTTCCATTTTCTAGCAATCTTGCAAGTACAGAGACCCAGATTCTGTTCACCATTGCTCAAAATGGTTTTGTCTCATTGGGAGAATCTAGGGTTCAGTTTCTCCTAACGGGAGATTACTCAGGTTGGACTATATCATCTTTAAACCCCTCTTCGGGCGACCAGAGGAGTGCATATGCCATAGGATTCTATGAACTCACCTCTAAAAAAAAAGCATTTTTGTAAGCTAGATGCCCCTCTGCTGTCCTCTAGTGTTAAAATGTGGTATATATAACAAATGCCTTTGAAACGTCTGTTTTAGCATTTAGTTGGAAATTTGATTTATAAGCAGCCCCCATTGCAACAGGGGTAAAAGGAGAATTTGATAAAATGTGTTCTAATTCAAATTATTTTATTTCCTAATTTAAATAACACAAATGGAGATAACGTATAGGTCAAATCTCATTATAGCACATATTGTTACTTTGCTCGTCCAGTATTTTCAAAACTGGACCTCTGAACCAGCAGTCAGGGCAGTGTTGCAACTGTGGTCCTGTTCCAGATAGTTATAGACCTGGCTCGTGTATGGCCTTTGCCAGGCTTTCGCCAGTTGAGGGACAGAGGGGATCAAAGAGAGTGAGAGAGGGTTTGTTGGCACAGGTGCATCCTTGGCCTGGTTACGGGTACAGTTGGGGCCTTGAGTTCTGTGAATGGTGGACTCTCAGTCCAGTGGTCAGAAAGTGGTTTATTGGTTGAGGTGTCATTCAGCTAGAGTAACATAGCTGTGTAAAACTTTGGGTAGGTTCTCAGGGCCCCTGGGAACCTGTGACCAACGGTTGAGGCCCCATGGTGGTGTAACACATTGTTCAGGAGATGTTAAAGGTACAGCAGTTACCCTGGCCCTGAGGCAGGGCAAGTTAAGGGAAAGGCTGTCGCCATAGTTTTTTTTGTTTTTTGTTTTTGATTTCAATGTTCAGAGTTTAGCCATGCCCTGCCCCATGTTTAAAATATGGGGTATGGGGTAATGGCAGTGTCATTGCCAAGCAGTCAAGATTAGGATAACTATTTGAAGCATAGTAGATTTGCAAAACAGGGGGTGATGTTTTGCCTTAATGATTGGAGCATAGCATTTGCCTTGTGGTAGTTTTGTTACCACACTCATCCAGTCTGGTCTGGAGCACATGACTCAGCTGGGTTACTTGACTGGCTTTTTGGCTAGAACTAGACCAACACTCCTGGAAATATCCTTTCTCAAAAGAAAAAAAAAGAAAAGAAAAGAAATATCCTTTCTCTTCTCATTGCTCTACTTGAAGGATTTCTCTTGCTCATCACAGTAAAGAGGCAAAAGACAACAAGAACAGAATAGTATTTATACTGACAGATGTGGTCACTTTCAGATGTGTTTGCAATAGTCCATCCACCTAAGGTGGGAAGTGGACAGAACTGCCCGGGACAAAGAGTGAGGTGCGAGAGTCCACCCCATCATAGTTCTGAAGCCTCCTGCCTTTCTCTAAGGTCTTTCAGAGGTCACTGATAGAGGCTCAGCTGTCATATCTGCAATGAAATTGCAGATCTGGTCCCAAATTCCCCAATTATTAGCATACCTATATTAACTTTTTCTAATTTGTATCATAAGGTTGTAACTCCAAATTGAAAATCTCTTTAACATTATATATAATGCCTTACTTCTTGATGCTTTTTATTCTATATCCTTTGGCTTAGGTGCCCGAAAAAAAATTATGTTATAGAATCTGAAATTGAAAGATAATTCCTAATTTCCTAAAGTTAATTTCTAACTTCTAATGAATTCTGTGATCATCTTCTTTCTTTCAAAACAGATATTTTAAGCCCTTGTTCTTTTATTTTTAACATTCATTTAAAAAAAAATTGAGTTCCAAATTATATTCCTTCCTCCAGCCCCTCCTCCGCCCATTGAGAAGGCAACCACTACAATGCCCATTACATATGTGAAGCCATACAAAACATTTCCATATTAGCCAGATTGCAAAAAAAAAAAAAGAAAAGTCAAGAAAAATAAAGTGAAAAAAATTTGCTTTGATCTGCGCTGAGTTCATCAGTTCTTTCTCTGGAGGTAGATAGCATTTTTTATCATGGGTCCTTCAAAATTGTGTTGGATCTTTGAATTGATCAGAGTAGCTAAGTCTTTCACAGTGGATCATCATTGCAATATTGCTGTTACGATGTGCAGTGTTCTACTCCTTCTGCTCACTTCGCTTTGCATCAGTTCATATAATTCTTCCCAGGTTTTTCTAAAATCTGCTTGCTCGTCATTTCTTAGAGCACAATAGTATTCCATCATAATCATATACTACAACTCCTTTAGCCATTCCCACTTGATGAAGCCCTTGTTCTTTTTAGCGTTCATCGTGAGCCTCAGCTCTTCCTGTGCTGTGCTGCAGCCCAATGACTGTTTTTACATGACCATGTTACTCTTCTATTCATCCTCATTTATCCCCCACCCCTATTGCCGTCATCTCTACTTGCCTTTAAGTCAGTTGTTCCCTACAAGCCATATAGGCCTTTTATATGACTACCTCTTTTCCTTTTCATTGGAATCTCTCCTGTATCGTATCTTCAGAATTTCAATCACTCTCTATCATATTGTAAAATTCAAAGTGTTTCTATCCATCAGCCCTGTAAAAATCAGAATCACAATATTTTAAGGCTCACTTATTAGCTGTAGCCTAACATTCTGGACAAGGCAATGTGGTGCGGTAGAAAGAAGAATAAATTCTAGGTTGGAGGCCCTAGGTTTGAGTCTCAGATTTGTCATGTTATATAATATAGTTGTGATGTAAAATTGAAGATGTCTATTTAACATTATATATAATTTCATATTAGTGCATTTTATGAGAGGCCCTTTGCCACAGTTAGTTGCAAAATGGACAGTTTATAGAATTTGAAATTCAAAGACATTCACTTCCAAATATGTATTCTAATGAATTCTATAATCTTCTTGGCCTCAAGATAGAGTTTCCCATTTAATAATTTATAAAACAAAGTTTTTAGGACAATAAGAGATCCAGAATCTTTCAACAGATATTTAACATTTATTAAAGGCCTATTATATGGCTTAAAACATTTTACTGCTAAGGTGCAAGCTGGTTTAGTAAAAAAAAAATTGATAGAAAACAACATGTAACTATTAAGGCCATGACCATGTGGCAAGAATTTTGGGGGGTTTTTTGGTTTGTTTTTTTTTAAAATTAATAATGTAGATCAGCACAGGGATAAACAAGCAGACAAGTGGACAGTCAGACAGTTATGTAGGTGGTTCTGTCTTCATGGCTAAAACTCTTTCTTCTGGTGCATCTGTCCCAGAAACTCTGGTGTTACTTTGATTTTTTGGCAGATTGCATTTCTAAAGTTTGTCCTCAGTATCCTACATATTTACCCATCTTCTCCCTTCTCCCATACCTGTCATAGCCCACAGAGCCAGCCCATATCTCTCACCACCTGCCTCCTGCATCACCCTCAGTATATGGGGTCTTTAAGTTGCTCAGAGCCCTTCCTGCTCCTCAGAGTAACTGAACAGAAAACCCTAGCCAGTAACAGTAATATTGGAGGGAAATCTGTCCAAGGGATGGAGTCTAAGAAAAGGAAGTCTAAGAAGAGGGAGTTGGAGATTAAGGAAGAATATGGTTCAGCCCATCACTGGGTCAGTCACTGAACACTGCGGCTAACACCCAAGGAAATGCAAACATTTTTTGACTCAGCAAGCATCATTCACCTGATTTGTTGGAAATAGCTATCTAGAGATAACAGATGGTGACAGTTTGAACAACAATAATAAGAGGAAATGATCATTGTGGTTTGGGCCATGAACTTTAAAATGAACTATATGTGCTAATTTCAGAAGTGGTTTTCTATTTACATACATGGCCCAATATAGTACTTCATAACTGTCTCCAATTTTTGAAGGTTATGCTAAATTAAAATTGAAATTTATATTTTTCTAGACTTTCTAGGAGGCTTTGGTTTTGTCCTTCTTGTATTATACCACATTTTAGTCTAATTGTTTTTAATGTAGGCTTTCATTCGTTAATGATATGTATGCACACAGATGTATATGTGTGTGTATATATATACACGTACATATATTATACATCACACACACACACACACGCGCACACACACACACACACACACACACACACACACACACACACACACACATCTTAATGATCCTTTTTCCCCTTGACCAAGAGAAATTTTATTCAGGTACACAAGAATTAGTTTTGTAACTTGAGTATATAGCTATGGCTTATTATCACCCAAAATGATGATTATTAAATAGTATGTGGTGAATTTCCTCTCTATTTTGTGGTGATAAGCAACAATGTTTCATTAGCCCACCTTGTTTTTGCTATTGTATTTGAAGTTTTTAAACATGTTTTTGCTTTTAGGGTGTAAAAAACTACAGCGTACCCATAGGTTTGGATTCCAGAGTCCTAGTGGATTTGATAGTGGTGGGATCAGTGGCTGTTTCTGTAAAAGGTAGGAATAAACAACATTAATTAGTGTGTTCAGAAACTTCTGTTAATGCTGTCTTCTAAGGTATTTTTGCATTCATGTTTTTTAGTATAGCTGTGATTTCAGTTGTTATTCTCAAAGTATTCTATATTGATTTTTCTACGATCATGACCCCGGGATAATCAGCCCATTGTTGGACACATGCCTGAGTCACCACTGATCATTACTGTGGACATATAGAGGCTCTGAAGTCCAGCCACCTCATTTTATAGATGAGGAAATACTGCTGCAGAATAGTGGTGACTTTGCCTACCCCACCCCTAACCCTGTTTGGTGAGAGAAGTAAAGTTAGAGCTTGAGTTTAGCCTAGAGCAGAGGTGCAGAGCCTGCCACCTGGAAGCCACCCATGGCCTTCTAAGTCCTTGGGTGCAGCCCTTTGACTGAGTCCAAGTTTTACAGAATAAATCCTTTTATTAAGGGGATTTGTTCTGTGAAGTTTGGATTCAGTCAAAGGGCTGAACTTGAGGACCTAGAGAGCCACATGTGGCCTTGAGGCTGCAGGTTCCCCACCCCTGGAGAATCTACCTAAAGTCAGAGTTATGAGGCAGTTAGGTGGCGCAGTGGATAGAGCACTGGCCCTAGAGTCAGGAGGACCTGGGTTCAAATCCGACCTCAGACACATAACACGCATTAGCTGTGTGACTCTGGGCAAGTCACTTAACCCCAATTGCCTCACCAAAAAAAAAAAAAAGAAGTTAGAGCTGAACCTGCTGGCACAGCACTCTTTTACTGTATTGTATGGTCCTCCTAATTAAAACAGTCGTGGGTAGATTACTGAGGATTAAGTTGACTCTTCAAATAATTCATCATTTTCAAATTCACCTACTTTAAGGAAAAGGTCTTAAAATAAGCCTCCTCTTTTTTCTCAAGTTACCTGAGCCTGAAGCTGAATATATTTGCAGTAAATCATTGGTTTGTGAGGGACTTGAACAGTGGAAAAGCCTTAGCTTCTGAGCTTTGTTTTTCTTGTAATCAGTTGTGTCTTTAACAGCACAGCGTGTCCCTTATATTCCTCGCCAATTTTTCAGAAGCCTTTGGTCCTTTGCCAGGGGAACAGAGCTGTGCCACCTTCAGGACAGCCTCTGGCAAGGCTATGCTCCCTTGGCCAGGCAGCTCACCCCTCAACTGCCCCAAGCAGTTAAGCTCCTGTGGTTTATGGTGGACTTTTTCCTCATGCTGCTATTTCCACTCTACAAGGCCATCTTGTATGCTTCAAACCCAGGCACTTTGAAAGTAATCTGTTTAAATTGGAGAATCGGTAGGTTCCACCTGGGGTCAGCATATTAGCAGAGATGCACTTGTAAAGTAATGTTTTGACTGTGGCTAGCAAGGCCTTTTCTTTTATCTTTTACGGAAAGAGAGAGAGAGAGAGAGAGAGAGAGAGAGAGAGAGAGAGAGAGAGAGAGAGAGAGAGAGACTAAAGAAATGGGAGAGATGAGAAAGAGTGAACATTGTAAATTGAGGCCTTATATTAACCTCTCCCAGGATCAGAATTATTTGAGGTCCTTGTGAACCATATTAGGCTATACGCAAGATTTCCAAAATAGCTAGTGTCCTAGAATGGTAATAATATAAAAGAATGGATCTTTTGAGATTTAAAAAAACCAAAGAAACCAAAAACCTTTCTTTTCGTATTTGCTGTCTTTGTAGAAGTTTGATGTGATAGATTCTTTAAGAATCTAAGAATTCTGGGTTTGAATCCACATTTCATTCAGATAAATCCTTTTACTCTTAACTTCCATTTCCCTATTTAAAAAAGAGTACTGGTTAGGCCGCTAGGTGGCGCCATAGTGCATAGAGTGGGAGACCTGGAGTCAAGAAGACTTACCTTCCTGAGTTCAAACCTGGCCTCAGACACTTACTAGTTGTGACCCTGGGCAAGTCACTTCATCTTGTTTGCCTCAATTTTCTCATCTGTAAAATGAGCTGGAGGAGGAAATGGCAAACCACTCCAGTATCTCTGCCAAGAAAACCCCAAATGGAGTCATAAAGAGTCAGATATAACTGAATTGACTGAGCAACAGCACAGCTCTACTTAGCCCATGTCTCACTGGAGCATTTCTTGGTGATTAAGATAATGTAGAGTGATTTTTAGAAGACATATGTCTGAGAGGCAACATGGTCAAAAGATGTGGAGTCCAGTTTCTGCTCTGCCTTATGTGACATCAGAGAGGCTGCCTTACCTATCAGAACTTTCCTCATTTGTAAAACAAAGATAACAATACTTATTTGGCCTACTTCACAGGGTTGTTCCAAAGAACCACACAAGATAATGTACAATAAGTACTTCTTCACCTAAAATAATATGTAAGTGTAACTATTGTCATTTACCATCATTTCAGGCTACACATCCTCACTTTTGAAGGCTTGACTTTTTCTTCCCAGGAAATTATTTTTAAAAAAACATTTAACATTTTGTTAGAGATCTGTTCAAGTATGTTTCTAAATTGCTATTTCATTATCTTTAAAAAGAATCCTTGTTGCCATAGATTAGTGGTGAGATATTTCTGTGAAATTCATTTTCCTTTCTAATATGCATTCAGAATACTCATTCTTAGGAACTGTGCCTCTGATATCATGTAGCAGAAGCGTTTCGAGCTACATCATGGACTTTTGACTATAGGAGGTCCACCTTAAGTTAGCTTCCTGTGAGCATGGACTCGTTTGGCAGGGACAAGCGTCGTTTTGAATTTTAGCGCTGACACAACAAAATTAAAACTGTTCCTTTGCTGTTTCCCACACCCTATAAGCTGTCATTGGTGTCATGGCCTTGTTTACTTGCAGGATGGAGAATTGGGAAGGGAGAAGGTTATGCTGACATGGAATATGCAATGATGGTATCCATGGGAGCAGTCCGGGAGGAGACCCCAGTAGTGACCATTGTGCATGACTGCCAGGTAATTTCTGTCAGCTGAACTAAGTAACACCATCACCCTCCTTCTCTGTTCTGTACGTGTGTGAGTGTGTTTATCTGTGCATCTGTTTTACTGCCCTCACGCTGATTGTGATTGTGCCATGTGTTGTTTTTAAGCTGCTAGGGCTGGATTCATTTAGTGATACCACAAGCGGGCCCCCCATCAAAATGTAAATTTGGGTATGATTTCCTGTAACCAGTGTGTTCTGTTCCTACTAATGACTCCTTCAGTAAACTTAAGTTGGGCACCAGGCCTTGTCAGATCATCCACACCAGAGGTTTCAAACTCACTGACTGTCAGCAAAACTCCCCAGTGTGGCGAGAACCAAATTAAAATGGAATTGGAAAATGTTTAACAAAATAAATAAAAATACAAAACCACATAGATAACATTAGTTTGAGGTTTTCCAAGGTGATCTCTGGCCCATAAGGATTTGTTTCTGTTGAAGTTTGACACATTTTTGTCCCATCAGGTGGTTGATATACCTGAAGAGCTGCTTGGTGACCATGATCTAACTGTGGATTACATCCTCACTCCCACCAGAGTGATTGTGACCGGCTGCACGAGGCCAAAGCCACAGGGTATCATATGGTCCATGGTAGGTAATTGCCATGAAAGATTTTCAGAATTCTGGTTCTTGCTTTTGGAGCTGGCCAAGGACTTTTTCTTCTGTGTTGTTCTTTGCTTCATATAGTACATAGCATACTCTTTTTCCTCAAGGCTTTACTCTCAGAATTACCACCTCCTACCCCCTACCAAAAGTGATCTTGATCCAAATTTGGCCAACTGTTCCTGATTTTTCAGTGTTATATTTACATTTCAGGTACAGTGTGATCAGTCTTGACCATCTACTATATATAGTTTTCACCTTTACAAATCCTGATGTTGCTTCTGAATTCTTTGATCTCCCACAAAAAATAAACTCACTTAGAGGCAGGAGATAAAGCAGCTGTTGGCACATGTGTTTAGCCCTGTTGTTGAAATATTTTAATTTTTCTTTCCAAAGTATAATAGTGAGATCATTTGTTAATTAGTTTGCAATAGATTTTCACCCTTCAGAAACCAGACTGATGCAATCAGATTTGAGGGATTTCTTGAAATTAGGAATCTCATATTTGCAAATATACAAATGGCTGGGAAGGCATTAAGAAGTTCTGCTTAATTTGGAATGAAACTAAGAAAAAATAAGCATTTTTGTCCATATTTTCCATCCTTCATCTTGAGTTTTCCAAAGCTTTTCAGAAGCCTTAGGACATGGAAAAATAAATAGAATCCACCCCAAAATATGAGCATCGAAATGGGGCATGCCAGTGTTTTCATATTTGCTTATTTCTTTTCATTGTTGACATACAAAATGCCTTTTGTTACATGTACCCTAGAAGGAGAATTCTGTGGAACTAAAATGTCAATTTCCTCTATCTTAATCCTTAATAATTTTTTTAAAGACACTAGAAATAAACATCAGTAACTCATTAGGCCCCTCCAGCTATACTAATTAAAAGCTCAAGTTTGTGAGTGTGGAAGTAGTCAGCTCTAGAAAGTAAATTGAGAATGTCTCCATGCTTAGTGGACATGAATAATCTCCCGGCATCTTTCTTAAGAAGGTGGGTTACCTCAGAATCTTGGGCCACAACTCACTCTTAAGTGAAGATGGATGAATAGGTTACAGAACTGTTCCAGATTATAGAGCGCTCTCTCTGTGCAGGCTGAGGCCCAATCTTTAGAGTCAGTTTGTGAGAGCAGATCTACCACACTGAAGCTGGCGTTAGTTTCCTATTCCAAGATTACCATTTCATAAAAGAGTATTTATAATATTCCATATTAGGAAGATTTTATAGTTCGAGCAGCTGTCTGTAGAAGGGCAGAGAGACATGCATTGCCTTAGGGAAGAGCTATAGTTGATGTTGTGGATTTTGGGGGAAAAACAACAATGCAAATTGTGGTCACTCAGACATGGTAGAAAAATGTGAGATCCTACTTACATAAAAGAAAATCAAACTCAGGCCCAGGCTTCAGAGGCTGCTTGTTCTACTTGTTTGCTGAAACCCGAGCTCTCCCATTCCCTTTCCAGGAAGACTGTAGCTTCTAATATTTTTCTAAAAAGTAATTCCATAACTGAGATATCATCAGTTCTTTTACTCAGTAATGATTTCCTTGTATTGGTCATTGTGCTTCGGCCTGTAGTACATCAGTCACTCTATTCAGAGCCCCTGAACTTGCTTATTTACTTTTGTTAGCTGTCTAGTCTAAGTGAGCCTACTTTAATATCTGCGAGGAAAATGCTTGTGTGAATTTGATTTAAAGGTGAGTCATAGCTCCTTCTCAAGCCACTCTGACCATAAATGCCGATTTATTTATCCCTGGCCTATATCTGTTCTGTCCCCATTAAAGCCCTCTTCCTCTCTCTTATTGTGGCATACTTAACACAGGACACTGGGCCCCCAGTGGCTACACCAATAGAGCACACACTGGTAGCACTGTGAGGCTCAAGCAGCTTTCTGGGATGGACCCCAGCGTGGACTTTGTGGGGGAGCTCGCCGTTAAATTGGCTACAGAGATTTATAAACTGTCACAGCCGGGGTCAGTGGGAGAAGTTGATGCTGATAGTTCATGTCAGTTTATGCCAGCACATTCTGATGTGCTTAAATGTCTGTCTGAGCATAATCTTTAATCATCTATGTTTAAGATCAAATAAGTCAGCCCCCATCTGTGGTACAGGTCTCTAGGCTTTTAAAGCCGATATCTAAAAGAAGGGTGCTAGAAAAGTATCAAAGGCTGGTGTGGTTTCCTTATTCCACCTCACTGAGAAGGCTACATAGAGCATTTTGCAGAATTATTCCAGCTTTGGAAAAATCAGTGCAGCTGTCAGAGCCCCTGGGAGCATTGATGGAAATGTGCTCCAGGAGCTAATGGCTTAGCTGCAGAGATGGTTAAGTGAGAAGCTACTGCTTCAAAGTCAAAACTGACTCCACACATACATCACGAGAAGTTAAACAAGATATTGGAGAAGTCCCTTGTGTTGTTATGTTCATAAAGAAAAGGGAGCAGTCTGACAGGACGGAGCCTTGGGGGACCCCAGTGGTTTGGGAGGGAAACCTGGGTGGAGATCCAGCAGAGGAGACTGAGAAGGAGTAATTGAGTAGACAGGACTGAAGAACCAGGAGAGAGTGGCGTCCCAGGAACCCAGAGGGAAAAGAGAATCAGGGAGGTAAGGGGAATGACAGTGTCAGAGGCTTCCCATTAGATCTGATAGTCTAATCTCTACAGGTGCCCCATCCGTGTTAAGGTCCTGTAGGTGTTCCTTTTTGCGCATGACATAGCTGACGAGCCCAAGAATCCTTCAGTGTCTCCTGGAAAAAATCCATGACCATTCACACCAGAAAACCAAATGGATGCAGAATGCCCTTTATGCCATGTGGCCAGCTGGATGGCTTAGAACTCATCTATCACAATAGATGTCTCTTGGAAAGACAGTAAACTTAGAGAATGAGTTGGACGCAGAACTAAACAGGAGAAAGAGAGAGCAAGCTGGATTGCTTCCAAGAAACTGAAAAGCTGCTTTAATGGCCAACAAACAAAGGTCTAGCTTGTTCATTCCGTTGTCTTATCAGTGTTGGATAGCTCCAAGTTGTGGAACGTGATGTTCTCTGAAGAATTAAGGTTAGTATTACTGAGGGCAATAGAGAAGCTGTGTGGGTTAGAACAGGCTGCAACATGGAACAGCTCCAGAACCTTGAAAAAGAAGGGGGATGAAGGCTTTTTCATGTGTCCCCAGTGGACATCCCATGTACTCTCTCGGGAGCCTGCAAGGAAGGCCCCTGGTGCGTTGGTGAACTCTCTCTAGCCAACTACGGTAGAGGACACGTCCACATTGCCTAGATCACTGATCTACTTGAAGAATATATTCCAGATCTCGGGCAAAATGCTTGGCAGTATGATGTCACCTTGCTGATACAATGCTTTAGCTCAAGGAAAGACTGAAGTAGGAGTCATGTCTACACAGCTGTGAATTTTAAGTTTATTAAGGATGCTGACCTGGCTCTTTTGGCAGCTAGATGGCACAGTGGATAGAGTGCAGGGCCTGGAGTCAGAAAGACTCATCTTCCTAGCTGTATGACCCTGGGCAAGTCACTTAACTTGTTTACCTCAGTTTCCTTACTTGTAAAATGGGGGTAATAACAGCACCCACCTTCCAGGGTTGTTGTGAGGATCAAACAAGGTAATATTTGTAAAGCTCTTAATAAAGGGCTTGGCACATAGGAGGTGCTATATAAATGTTAGCTCTTGTAATGATGCCGTTCCATGTATGCCATCTGTCAAGCTCACTAAACATTGAATTACTAGGCGGCGTTCCTGGCAGCACTTTCTTGTGTTCTAATCAACCTACCACTGGTGCCACAGCGCAGTACTGTACACACAAAGAGAATAGACAATAACAATAATAATAATAGATCACATTTATGCAAGACATTAAGGTCTACAAACTGTATTTTTTCATGCTGGCACTATTGAGCTAGGTAGAATTCTGATTCCCATTTTACAAATGGAGATACTGAGGTCCTGAAAAACTACGTGACTTGGCCAAGAGCACACAGTTCACTGATTCTACCTTCACAGAATCTCATTGTTGGAGAGATCACAGAAGTCATCTCGTCCAACGTGTCTCCCAAGCCCATCTTGGATCTCTTTTTACCATGTTATGTTTACCTCTGAAGAGAATGAATGCAGGATGCCCAAGCATCTTTTGAATAAGTTAAAATGAGGATAGAAAGGAGGGCAATTTGGAATTCTATCAAAAATACATTGGCATATATTTCAGCCACCACATGATACAGCTTCCTGGGAAATAGCAGCCCCATCAGATATGCCAGCCTGGTGTGCAGCATTCAAGAAAGAGCTGTCTGTTTTTGAAAGAATTTCTTCAGAGTAACCGCAAGATGTTTATAGGTGGAGCTACAAACCTCCATGAACTGCTAACAGTCACCAAAACTGCATTATCAAAGACCAGTCATCACATGTCCCCACAGTGGAAAGAACTATTAGTCACATATGGATCATCTTAGCCACTCCTACATACACACCATCAGTAGCTCCATCCTTGATTATGGAGGCCAATGGCACATTGCCCATTGAAGAACAGAATCTGGGGAGTTTTTACTTGCCAAGTTGATTCATTTAGCTCCCTAATTAGGGCAGTTGTAGCAGTTTTTCCCCCATAAGGGTCATCTTCATACTTTAGGCTTAAGGAAATAAATAATTTCATGTATTTTAAAAGCTTAGCATGTTCAACACCATATGACCTTCTTTGGGACTGGTACTTCTCACCCATATGTTCACAATATGGTGAGGTTATTTACTTCATCCAAATGACTGACTCATCAACGGAAAAAGGAATCTTTAATGTCCTAGAAGTACTTGCTTTCAAGATGAGGTTCATTTAAAGTGTAACTTTGGGTTTCTTACAGGCACACTCTTTGTAAGCCTAGATGAACCTTAGCCAGAAACAACATCGAGCTGAGGATAACCTATTTCCTATTTTCTGCATCATGTAACTTGAAATGGATAATATAGGTAATATATTTTATGTCAGATTCAATT